AATGAATGTGCATCTTTTGGGTATATGCCTAAGAGTGGAATTGCTGGGTCTTGTGGTAGACTGATTCCCAATTTCCTGAGAAATCTCCATACTGATTTCCAAAGTGGCTGTACAAGTTTTCACTCCCACCAGCAGTGGAGGAGTGTTCGCCTCTCTCTCTCTCTACATCTTGTCCATCATAAGCTGTCTTTGGAGTTTTTGTTTGTAGCCATTCTGACAGGAGTAAGATGGTATCTCAGAGTTGTTTTGATTTGCCTTTCCTGGATGGTTAGGGATGTTGAGCACTTTCTTAAGTGTCTCACAGCCATTTTAGACTCCTCTACTGAGAATTCTCTATTTAGTTCTGCACCCCACTTTTTGATTGGATCTTTTGGTGTTTTAGAGACTAGCTTCTTGAGTTCTTTGTAAATTTAACATGTACTTGCACTACTTGACATCTCTTTCTCTCTCCTTGCTTGTCAAATCATATGCTTGCTTTGCTTGGCTTTGTCCTGTCCCCCTTTGTCATATTTATGATTGCATTGCCATGACTTGCCGTCTTGCTTTATCTTGGCATGCCAAGACTTGCCTTGCCTTTTTGGTCATGACCATGCTTTACCTTGGGTTGTATTTCTTGTCATGTGTATGCACTCCTCCTCCCCTCCTCCCTCCCTCTCCCCTCCCCTCTCACCTTCCCTTCCCATGGGAATTCATTGCACTATCTTGCCTTTGCTTTTCTTGCTTTGCCATGCGTATATCTTGCCTTTCCTTGACTTGCTGTGCACATGGCTTCCCTTGTGTAGCCAAGCACACTTCTTACGTTCCCTTTGCTTTCCTTTTGACGCCCATTCTTTGACTTTTGTGTGCATGTCATGCCTTCCATTGACTTCCCTTGTCTTGTGCCACACTGGCCTTGCTTTGCCTAGCCTTGCTTTGCCTAGCATTGCGTTGTCATGACGTGTGCCTGACTTCAACTTCCTTTGCCTTGCCTCGCCTTGTTTGTCTTGCCTTGTCATCATATGCAATGCCTTTAGCTTTACTTCCTTGTGTTCCATTCACATTCCTTGGCTTTCATTACCTTGCAAAATACATGCTTTTCTTTCCCTTGCTTTGCCTTGCTGTGAGCATGGAATGCCATGCCTTGTCTTCTGTTTCCTTTCTTGCCTTGGCTTGCCCAGTGCATGCCTTTCCTTTGCTAGCCTTCCTACCCTTCCCTTTGTTTCCTTTCCTTTCCTGTCCATTCCTTTCCTTTTCTTATGGACACTGTCCTGAACCAGTCTCAGTCTCCCTTTGCTCTGCGGTCCTCCCACCATACTCCATTGGCTATTTTCATCTTGGATGACTTTGAGGTCCTGAAATTACTAACTCTACTTTCTAAGTACCATGATTACAGGCCTCTGCCACCATGCCTGGCTTAGGTGGCTTCAACTTCACTTAGTGAGGCATTAGAATGACAGGGTGAGTAACATGAGGAGTTGGACTTAACTATATTCAGAATCTACTTATCTTTGTGAGCCTGGGTTTCACCATCTGCAGAATAAGGCAGAATTCTTCCCAGGTACTTTGATGAGTTATGACAGACTCAATGATAAGGAAAAATAGTATTTCTCATAGTTGGAAGACAGTGGACTTTAAGACAGGAGGCTGCATTTGATGGGAACCTTCTTCTGTTGCTGGAGTTGGGACCAGAGACTGTGTCCTGGGTACCCTAACCAGCCAGACTCAGTCATTCATCCTCATTAAGTCAATTAAAAGAATCAAGTTGTCTAGTGACATGCCCAAGTACAATACAGGCACTCTGAAGTCAAGATGGACAGATCTCTCTGATGTCATAGGGCAGCCTAGTCTATAGTGTGAATTCTAGGCCAGACAGGAAGTCACAGTAATACTATTCTCAAAAAGAAGAGAAAAAAATCATACAAAAGGGAAAATGACAAAATTGATAAAAACATTTATTCAGTTTGACTAATTTGGAACAATAAAGAAAATATATGGTAAATAATCAATTCCTGGGGTCCTAACAGGCTTAGATAGAAGGCAACACTAAATAATCTAATGAAGCCAAATAATGAAATTTCCCCTTCTCTAAAACACTCCCACATTCTCAGTTCCTGTTTATCCTGTAAGGTGGTCAGATGAGAAGTAAATGTTTCTTCAACAGAGGCATTCTCATTTGGAAGACTCAAGTCTTTTCTCACAATGAGATTCCCAGGAAAATTAGAATTTTATAGGTCTACTGTTTCCCTAGTTGTAGGTCATAGAGAGTCTCTTTAGACTGTTCTTATTGCTACCAAGAAGGTAGGTTACAGATATTGCTAGGGTAGGCACTGAGAAGCTTTAAGGCCCAAGTTGGGACCACAAAGTGGGAGCCCACAGGGAATTTGTCACTGACAGCTACATACAGTTGTCAAAACCAGAAAAGAGTGGAAGACCTGGAGGGCACTGCTTCTCCACAGGTTGAGTGGATACAGGGAGCACAGTGTGCCATCTTGTCCTCAGGTACACACCAAGCATTGCTTTCTGGTCATTTGACCCTGCACTTTCACACCCAAAGCTCCCTCCCTAACAAGTCCTCTGTACTCTATAGCTCTTTATAAATGTCAGAATGCCCCAGCCTTAGAGTGACTTCAGTCTCAGGACCACAGACCACCTGGTTCCATCTGGAGTCACCACACTTAAGGACTCCTAAGTGACAGTTTTACAGGCATCAAGTTAGCAGACTATCATCCCAATCACAGAAGTCAGGCTTCATACCTGCAAGTTCCTCGTCTCTCCTTACAGGAAGTATAAACTGCAACAGGGGTACACACGACATTGTGTACAGTTTGCATTGCTGTGCACTTATGACATTGGAGATAAGCTCAGTCTTGTGGCTTTGGTCAAGCAGTCAGATACTTTTTAAAGAGTTGTATTGTTTGTTTCTCTCCTGGTCATTTTTTGTACTCTTCCCTCATTTTGTGAATATTTGGTTTTGGAAACTTCTTTAAGAACCATGTCTAAATTAGTTTTGGATGCTGTCAATCTTGTATTTGTTTTTGGGTGATGTGGGCTGATGTAAGATGAAATCAGGATCCTCCATTCACACCTTACTGCTATAATGAAACATTCACAAGGCTAAATAGATGGTTCAACACCAGAGAGCACTGCATGCTCACCCACAGGGTCTGACTTTTATTCCCAGCACTAGAGACAGCTCACAACTGTCTGTAACTACAGGCACTGGGGATCAGACACTCTCTTGTGACCTCCACTGTTCCTGGTAAGCTCTTGATATACACATTGGCAAAACCTATACACCTACATTAAATTGTATTCCTTTTGAAAATAGCAGACATGATGAAAGCCTTTTTAAAATATGAAATCATATATATATATCTGCCTTTTCACCTTTTGTATGTCTGGTACCCTAGTCAAGAAGAATGCATCAGATCTCCTGGACCTAGAAATATGCATTGTTCTGAGAGATCTGTTGTAGGTGCTAGGAACCAAACTTGGGTACCCAAAAGGAGCATGACTATTCAGTAAACTCCCCAGCTCACAAACATGTCACTAAAATATAGATGGGGATGCCAGATTACTCCTTCCATCCCTTGAAAGTGATGAAAGTGCCCACTAGATGGTTTCCATAGGATTCAATGGCTTTCTATCCCTGAGAATGGACTCTCAACTTTGCTTCTTATTTTCATTGTTAACAAAATTCTCATGATGTGAGCAGAGATAACAAATGATGACAAAGCTGATTTGTTGAAACCAGTCAGGCTCCAGTCAGATTATATAGGAAAAGTTCCATAATTTGAGATATGCCTTTTCTTTTAGGAAGTTTTTGAAACAGGATACCTCTACATAGCTGTGTCTGTCCTGGAACTCACTATGTGACCCAAGCTAACCTCAAACTTAGCAAGATTGGCCTGTCACTGTCTCCCAAGCACTGGAATGATAGGAATGTACCTATAAGCCCAGGCATGTTATGATTTTTAAATTATGCATCTTTAAATCAGACAATTAAAGAATAAGATTTTAAAAGAAATCATCATTGTTTGATGAACCGTATCAGCTCTTGAAATTCTGTAATAACAATGTAAACTGACAAATGATTTCATATATTATCCATAACTGGGTTATTTGCTTTATTAATTTTATTCATTTAAAACGCTTGAACTAAGCCGGGTAGTGGTGGCGCACACCTTTAATCCCAGCACTTGGGAGGCAGAGCCAGGTGGATCTCTGTGAGTTCCAGACCAGCCCGATCTAAAAGACAGCCTCCAAAGCCACAGAGACAGCCTGTCTCAAACCCTCCCCTCCAAAAATATCTTAACTATGTTTGTAGGTATATACCTGTGCCATCATGTGTATGTGGTAGTAAGACACAACTTAAAGGTGTCTATTATCTACTTCTCCTATGTGAGTTCTAGAAATGAAACCCAGGGAGTCATCTGGCTGCAAGTGACCTCAACGATGGGTTTAAAAGTTATTATGTATGTGCCAGTGTGGGAATGTGCATATGTCACAGCCTGAGTGTAGAAAGAAGTGAAAAACTTATAGGAGAGATTTGAGTGTTCCTGAGATTGAACTCAGGTCATTAGGCTTACCAGCAACCAACTTTACCCACTGAAAAAACTCTATGGCACTCAATTGTGGTTCTGAGACAGTGTTGGGGACAAGTGTTTGATCCTCAGAATAAACAAAAGAGGAAAAAGAAAACAAAACATATCAGTATATCATTTACATTTATGAATAAAATAGGATCTATTAGTCAAACTATCCTGTTTTCCTCTTTCCCTAGATGACAATATGTTTACAATCTGAAAAGAGGATATTTTACTGATAAAATGTTTCAATTGATCTTATATGAGCAACAGTGAGAAAAGTAAGTGAGAAATAGCTGTGTACGGCTGGTACCTGACCTTGATCACCATATGAAGAAGGTCAAAGGTAGACACCACGAAGTTGGCTTCTGGTCTCCACGTAACTTTCATGGTCTAAAACCTATAATCACATTACAGACACACACATAACAGAAGTTTCTTTGTTCTGTTTTTAATAAATCTCCTTGCCATTACATTGTAAGGCATCTCTGGATAATCCCCTTTGAAGGCAATACTTCAAGATGAAGTGCCCCATGGGAAAATAATGTGGACATGAAGAAGCATGGAATTTCAAATAATAATTACTTATATACATAACCGTAGCACATGAAGCTATGTTGTAAAACAATGGTGTGGACCACATGGTGACCATTGCTGCTTGACAAAGTTCCAGCATTTCAACACTGCAGACCAACCACACATCTCCAGCACCTGCAGAGGCAGGCAGATCTCTATGAACTACAGGTCAGACTGGCAGAATGAGTTCCAGGACAACCAAAGCCACACAGAGAAACCCTGTCTCAAAAGACAAAACAAAAACAAAAAGACACAAAGTTGTCTTCTAGTCTCCACATATCTGTCATGGCTTAAATAGTCACACAGATACACAACAGATTTTTTTTTTAAATAAATGTCATTCTCATAACATTATCGGGATCTCTGGATAATTCCCATAGGAGGTAATACTTCAATGTGATGTGCCAAGTAGATAACTGATGAGGTTATGAAGATGCATGATATTTCAAATAAAATATACATATTCATGACACATCAAGGTATATGGTGAGCCGGGTGTTGGTGGTACATGCTTTTAATCCCAGCACTCTGTGAGTTCGAGGCCAGCCTGGTCTACAGAGTGAGTTCTCGGACAGCCTCCAAAAACAATACAGAGAAATCCTGTCTTGAAAAACCAAAAAAAAAAAAAAAAAAGTATATGGTGAAATATACAGTTGAATGCTGATTATTCTACCTTATTAGATCTCTTCCAGACAGATAAAAATGTTTCTTGGGACACATACATAAGGTATTTAATGTTTTCATATTTTCTATTAAGTATTTTGACATTACCATTGTTAAAATGTGATGACAGAACAGGAAATGTTGGGAGCACATCATCTACCCTTAGACTTGTATTTCCAAGACTGACACATGAGGATCATGAGCTCAAATGTATCCCTGACTAATCACTAACCATCCAGGCTGGATAACAAGCAACATTTCAAGGGAATCTGTGAAAAAATATGAAAAATAAAACCAGGACAAAAAACCACCACCCTTTCACATACAGCCTCACTTGAAAAGTATGATGACACATAGCCTGATATGACCACTTATATGATGAACACTTTCTACACATTGCAGCATAAAAATATCTCTCACTGAGTGAAAGTACAATAAAAGATGAACAGAAGCCACTGAAGAAATGTAACAACCACCAAATAAAGTTCACTAAATGGACCACACATATAGCACACTTTAATATATACCTTAAATGTTGCAAAATAGCAGCCACAATGAGATCTTCACATCACTCTTTAGTGAATTTGGTACATAATTTACTTACTTCAAGGTTATATTGAAAGAGAGATGAGACAAGTTTGTTTTCCTGAAACTGAGACAACTGTCATGTCTAAAGTATTTACCAAATAATTTACATGAATAGGGTTTTTTTCCTGTATGAGTTCCTCCATATGTCCTGATATGAAAAAAAGCTTTAAAATGTTTACAGGACTAGAAACATGACCGAGTCCTTAATATTAGTTCATTCCCTGGACTAAGGTCAAGTTTTTGAGACCTCCCAGTAATTCCTGCTACAAGAAGCTCCAAGGGTCTAACATTTGTGGGAAACAGAATGTACATGCACATACCCACACAAAGAAAGACACAGTGACATTGCATAATTAAAATTAAAACAAATCTTTAAGCTAAATTTCACTAATGAATATTTTCTCTTGTAATTCTTGTGACACAGGTGTTGAGGCATCTAAAAGCTTACAGAGTTTTTCTCCATCATGAATTGGTTCATGTAACAGAACCATGAAATCATCATTCTCAGTCTGTAGAATCACAGGTGAAAATTTAGGTCATGCTGCTCTGCTGGAAGAATATCACTGGGGTTGGCCTGAGAGTGAACATCTGCATACCGTTTTCATTTTATACTTTCTATTTCATACTGCAGGTTAAGGATACGAATTCTTACCTTCCTACTTTAGTTGTCCTGTCTGACACCTGATTCCATGTCACTTTTATGGTAATGCTCTATTGCTCTGGAACCAAGGGTCAAATCAAACCCTTTCATAAGTTCACTTAGACATAATGCTGAATAATAGGAACAGAAAAGGCACTAATGCACACCCATGAAGTTCATACCTCGAATGATTATCTCATGCAATTGAAGTATGAAATCTAAAATGGATAGCTTATCATTTACATTTATAGGCCTTTTGCCCATGTGGGTTTCCTGGTGTAAACAAAATAATGAGGGATAACATAATGCTTGAACAGATTTTTGACACTTGTCAGATTTTTTTTCTCCAGAATAAATAATCTTCTGTAACTGAACATAGGTGTGTTGACTCAAGATCTTATCAAATGACTTATTTTCAGGTTCCCTTTGGTATGAGTTTTTTCAGATTTTCAAAGTCTATTATATTCAAAGGCTTTAATATATCAATTACATAGTAAAAGATATATTCTTATATATAAAGACTACAATGATTTGCAAAACTATGTTACCCTGACTACATTTAGAGGGTTTCTCTTCAGTATGGTTTTTGCTTGTTTTCAAAGATTATTGATACGTGCAAAGTCTTTCTCACATTGATCACATTTTTAGGGTTTCTCTCCAGTATGTGTTCTTTCATGTCTTTGAAGATGACTGTGTTGTACAAAGACTTTATCACATTGATTACATTCATAGACTTTCTCTCCACTGTGCGTTCTTTTATGTTTTCGGAGACTCTTGTGACACGCAAATGCTTTACCACACTCATCACATTCATATGGTTTCTCTCCAGTATGTGTTCTTTTATGTGTTTGAAGATTACTGTATTGTGCAAAGGCTCTACCACACTGATTACATTCATATGGTTTCTCTCCAGTATGTGTTCTTTTATGTATTTGGAGACTGACTAGATGTGCAAAGGCTTTACCACATTGATTACATTCATAGGGTTTCTCTCCAGTATGTGTTCTTCTATGTGTCTGAAGACTACTACGTTGTGCAAAGGCTCTACCACACTCATTACATTCATAGGGTTTCTCTCCAGTATGTGTTCTTCTATGTGTTCGAAGACTCTTGTGACATGCAAAGGCTTTACTACACTCATTACATTCATAGGGTTTCTCTCCAGTATGTGTTCTTTTATGTGTTTGAAGACTACTGTGTTGTGCATAGGTTTTACCACATTGATTACATTCATAGGGTTTCTCTCCATTATGTATTATTTTATGTGTTTGGAGACTCTTGAGACATGCAAAGGCTTGACCACATTGATTACATTCATAGGGTTTCTCTCCTGTCCTTTTATGTGTTCGGAGACTGATTTGACATGCAAAGGCTTCACCATATTGAATAACTTCGGAGGGTTTCTCTCCAGTATGAATTATTTTATGCCACTGAAGATGACCGTGACATGCAAAGGCTTTAACACATTGTGTATATTCAGAAGGTTTTTTGCCAGTATGACTTCTTTCATGCCTGCAAGAAAAATCGGCACATATAAAGCTTTACCACATTTAGAATGATGTTGAATCAGATTCATATCTGTATGAATGAATTTTACAATTTGATCTAACTGTAAAGATTAACCAAATCTTAAGCTTTTACCACTTTGCTTACACTCACACTCCCCTTCATTAAGGATTGTTTAGCATATTTGAAGATGCCTGTGATAGTAACAGCCTTTATTACCTGGTTCACATTTATGGCATCTTTTTCTCTGAGATTTTTCACATATTTGAAGAGAACTGGAAAAAAATCAGACTATTACCCCATTCATTCCATTTATAAATGTTCCTATACTGTGAGTCATATTACAAATGCAAAATAACCAAGACAAACAGAAATATTTACACATTCCTAGTGCTCAGGGATTTTCTGCAGGATAATGCTGTTAATGCATTCCAGCTTCATTAACCTGGAAAATCAATTACTTGGAAACTCAAATCACATTCAACATATCTACTCAACAGGGAGACTACTATATCTTCTAATTGTTCTCAGATGGAGAGAGTTACATTGTTCTTCCCATATCCCTATGCTCATAAGGCTTGTATCCAAAGTGATATATGGTATACCTATGAAAGGAAGAATAACAAATAAAAGGTTTCCATATTGAATTTACACAGTTTGACTTTCTCTTCCTCATAGACATATGGTACATGGACTAAAGTTTCTTCAAAACAAGCCCCTTAAATCTTGACTGTAACTAACAATCTCACTAAACTTAGCAAAGTCAGAACAATTATATGAGTAACACTAGCTTTATTATGAACTATTTGCTCATTAGGTTTTGGATACTTATCACCTATTCAGTCTATATACCTTTTGTAACATGAGTGATTTGAAACTAAATGTATTGGCAGTTCTACAGCATAGCTCTGATAGAGCTACAATCCAAGATGGTGATATCTGTTAAGATATTCATTCCTTGTCTTCCTTCTTAAAAGAATGACTTGCAAACACAATTCACTGCCATTGAGGTATATGGTTTTGTGAGAATTTAATGATTATCAATGCACTTTAAGCTGTGATTATTTACACTGCTGCTTTTCTTTAAAACTTACAGATACAATAAATGTCTTCAAAGGCACATCTGTATCAGCATACACATGAAAATTACCTTCCATGTCTTCGAGAACTTTGACAATGTTCTTCAATATTATCATCTTCCCATTTGTAGCCTAAAATATAGTATCAGGAAATGTGTATTTTTGGAAATTGTACAAAATTTCAGTTACTATCTTCTGTGATCCTTAGAACTATGCCTGATTTAGTCACCTCATTTTCAATCAAAATTACAGAAGAGCATCAATAACCAAGAAACAGCTGTCCCCTTATTTTAAAACGTGAAGGAAACTTCACAGTATTACCTATAGCAGTGAGGTTTGTATAGGTCTCCAACATCACATCTTTGTAGAGATTCTTCTGGGAAGGATGCAGCAACGCCCACTCCTCCCAAGTGAAATCAACATGCACATCATTGTAGGTCACTGCATCCTAAAACATGCCATATAGGTATACTTAAAAACATGATACTGACAACACTGTAAATGTATACTTCTTTGACAATATAGTTATATAATTCTGTTGATTCCCACACTTATTCTAGGACACAGACATTATAAAATAATCATCAAGTCAATTTAGAAGGAAACTGACTAGGAGGTTTACCTCTATCATTTTTGAACACTTAGAATGGGATATCACCTTGCAAGAGAAAAGACCATTAACAGACATAGAGAGGCAAGCAAGCCAATCAACAATACTGAGTATACATCAGAGAAATTTTATGAATGATTACTAACTAGAAAAAATCTTGAGCAAGGTGGGTGTATTGGTTCATGCCAGTCATCCCAGAACTCAGAGGCAGAGGCTCGTACATCTGCCTCTGAACTGAATGCTGGCCTAGTCTATGCAATCCTTTCCAGGACAGCAAGAAGTGGATATTAAGAACCTGTCTCGCCGGGCAGTGGTGGCTCACGCCTTTAATCCCAGCACTCGGGAGGCAGAGGCAGGCGGATCTCTGAGTTCGAGGCCAGGCTGGACCGACAGCCTCCAAAACACTACAGAGAAACCCTGTCTCGTAAAACAAAATAAAACAAAAAACAAACAAACAAAAAACCCAACCAACCAACAAACAAACAAAAGAACCTGTCTCCTGCAAAAATCAATTTAAAAAAAATAGGAAGAGCTCAAATTTTCTATTGAAGTTCCTACAGAGCTAATGGCATTCACTCGAGTTCTGTATTCATCTTCCAGAAATGCGAAGGGGTCTAGTTTAAACTGTAATTTTAATAAATCTTACTAAAATGGACCACATGTTTAAAGCAGTTCTAAACTGACAGATGAAAACATGAGCAATGTAAATACGGATCATAAATAATCAAGACAGGGCAGGTAAAACTGCTCAGAAGTTACAAGCCCTTGCTTGTCTTGCATATAGGTAGGTTAATTGCCAGTACTTACATAGGGCATCACAACTATCCATTATTCCAAGCTCAGGGAATTGAAGGACATTTTTCACGACTGTGAGGACCAGTCACACATATGGTAGATATGCATGTATCCAGGCAAAAGAATCACATTCATTTAAAAAACAAATACAACAAGCAGGAAGAATGCCACACACCTGTAATCAGATGACACAGAAGGCCCAGGCAGTACTAATGTCATGAATACTGCCACTCTGGGAAAGAGAATGATGCCCTCTGGCAAATTTCAAAATTCAAGCTGAGGGTGAAGCACAGGTGCAAAACCTTACATTCTAGGCCTCTCACCCCCCAAAAAAGCAACATATATATATATATGTTGATATATATTTATATATATAAAATCAAGGAATGTTGGCCCACCTTTAGTCACATCATTTGGAACAAGCCAGGTGAATCTGAGTTTGAGGACAGCCTGTTCTACAAAGCAACTAACTTTCAGGACAGCCAGGGCTACTCAGACAAACCCTGTCTTCAAACACAAGAATAAAAGCAACAAAATTTAAAAATCAGGCTAGCAAAATGGCTTAGCACTGAATAGCAATTGCTTCCATTGTATCTAATATGATTTAGCAATACCTTTATAATGGTGCTGAAGTCAAGGCATCACAAGAAAGAAGCTGGCTGATCAATTTCAACCATCACACAAAAGCAAAAAAAAAAATTAACAAACTGAAAGCAGTGTGCTATCAAAATGGGTTTGTACTAAACAGCAATTTCTTCCTTCTACTGTATCTCATATGATTTAGGGTTAGGGATATAATGGTGGTTAAGGCATGATAGCACAAGAAGGAAGCTGGCTGAGCAGTTTTAACCACAGCACAGTAGAAGCACAGAACAGGAATTGGGTTCAAGCTATAGACACTCAAATCCCATCCTCAATGAGGAATTACACTCAGAAAGGTTTCTACTACAAAGGTTCTATAAGCACCCCAAAGAAAACCATCAAGGACAGACACATGTTCAAATACATCATCTTTTCTGAAAGCTTTTCTTTCAGTCAACTAGATTCTGACCCAGGTAGGCTCATGGTCATCCATGAAGAAAATGCATTTAGTCACTTCAATGATCCTCATGGTCTGCAACAGCCTCTACACTGTCCAAATGTCTAAAGGCTCTTCTGACACCCAAGACAATCTCTTGACTGTGCCATCTTGTAAAATCAGAAAACAAGTAACTCTTTCCATCATACAATGGCACAGAATAACCATTCCCATTCCAAAGGAGAGGAAGCTTATGCTCTCCCTCTCAAGACGCATTAAAGCTGTTCTGCAGAAGGATCCTAAGTGTGCCGCGTCGTTCTTGCTGGCGAGACGGTAGCGCGGGACATCTGGTGCCGAAACCCGGGAACTCAGACCTCATCATCGTCAGCACCATCGGAGACCCCTTGGATTCAAGGAGGATTCAGAACTGCAGGTAACTACGCTCGGAGAGGTATGTTATTCTGGGACTTTGGATTGGAGCCTCTGTTACAACTGTTACATCATTACAATTGTTAGGATAAGTGGCAGTGCCTGACTGTGTGCTTTAGTCTCTTGTAGATAAAAGAGCTGCGCGTGCGCGGTCGTTACTTTTGTTTCATTTGAGCCTCAGGTGTTTATTTTTATCATGGCTCCTCTCAATCCGTCTAGCATGTCAGAAACCCAGCGTAGTGAGAGGTTAGGTGCACGTAAAAAGAAACCGGTTGTAACTAAGAAAGATAACCCCCCCCCGGTAAATTTAAGGATAAGGGGGAGCCCTTACAGTCCCCAAGAGGGACATTAGAAGATAAACAAAAAAGGGGAGAAGGATTATACCCTTTTCAGGAACTGGAAGCTTGCACAAATGCAAGTCACACATACTACAGGCCTGCCCTACAATCCTCAGGGACAAGGCATCGTGGAGCGAGCACATCGCACACTTAAGTCTTACCTAATAAAACAAAAAGGGGGAATTATGAAGGAGTTGCTCCCAACACCAAGAGTGGCTATTGCCATGGCATTGTTTACTATGAATTTTTAAAATCTGGATGATAAGGGTCAAAATGCAGCAACAAGGCATTGCTCGGATCCGCAAAGACCCAAAGAATTTGTAAAATGGAAAGATGTGCTAACTAATGAATGGAAAGGCCCGGATCCTATTCTAATAAAATCCAGGGGAGCTGTTTATGTTTTTCCACAGAATGAAGAAAATCCCTTTTGGGTCCCAGAACGACTCACCAGAACCGTTATGGAGCAAAAGGATGGCGAGACATTCCCGTGACAAAGAGGAACAACTTGACATTGATGGCACTAATTGCAATGAATTGGACCTATGAATTTGAGCAGATGCTTCGCGAATTGAGGGTCGCCATTGTTCAGATTAATTCTATCCGCCTTGACCTGTCCTTCATGGAGGGATTGTCTTCGTGGATTTCTTCAGCTGTTTCATATTTCAAAGAATGGGTGGGGGTGGGATTGTTTGGAGCAGTCCTATGCTGCGGAATAGTGTTTATTCTCTGGCTGGTCTGCAAGCTCAGAACCCAAAACAAAAGAGATAAGGTGGTCATAGCACAAGCACAGGCTGCGCTCGAGCAAGGGGCGTCAACCGATATCTGGTTGACTATGCTTAAGCAATAGGCTGCCGATAGAACAGCTCCTGCACACCTGGAACTTAGGTTCATTGCACAAGGTAGAGTGTTTAGTCTGGCCTCCCAAGAGGGGTGTTGAGCAAAGGCATCGCACAGAGAGATATTTTCCTCTGAGAGACATGTTGTCCTGCATAAGGGTTACCTGCTGTATTTTTTCCCTTTTCCCAAAAAAAAGGCAGAGGACAGGTCGGAAGCATCCCGGATTTTGATGAATCTAGGGATAGGTTTCGTACACGTATCACTAATTTTGTTCTTTGGGAAGTTCAACCACTGTCTCTACCCTCTAATGTCCTGGGAGAGCCTGTTTGCTATTAAAACAAAAAGGGGGAGATGTGGGGAGCCGCCCCCACATTCTCCATTACAAGATGGCACTGACACCCGTTGTCAGTTGGAGTAAATAACCTTGGTGCGCATGTGCCTGCTACTTTTCCATCCCTTACTCTCTGCCTCTCCCGTGGTATCATATGGGCTGACGAGCAGGAGCCAGTCAGGAGATGACACGTCCCAGGCGGGGACTGCTGAGCTATATAAGGGTTGGGCTTTTCGTTCCCCGGGTCTCCACTCTGTAAGCTTATGCTCTCCCTCTCAAGACGCATTAAAGCTGTTCTGCAGAAGGATCCTAAGTGTGCCGCGTCGTTATTGCTGGCGAGACGGTAGCGCGGGACAGTGGTGATGTATTATTTATTATTTATTAAACCTTGCTTGAGGATTCAGAAGGCAAAATCAACCACAAGCCATAAGCCTTTAATCCTAGAAGCTAGAGGTTAGGAGGTGGCACACACCTTTAATCCTAGGACTCATGATTAAGAAGTACCTGGATCTCTGTTAATCCAAGGCCACCCAGATCTACATAAGAGTGATCCAGGCCTAAAGCAAAACAGCTCACACAAAGATGATCTCAGCACCTGGGATCAAACATCTTTAATCCCGGCATTGGGAGGTATATAAGACAGAAGCAAGGTGTCAATATAAAGCATTCATTCTCCAGCCACACTGAGAATAGAAAGCCGTTCAGGTCTTTGTCTTACAGAAGCTTCTTAGTTTCAGGAGGTCCCATTTCTTAATTGTCGTTCTCAGTGTCTATGTTACTGGTTTTATGTTCAGGAAGCAGTCTCCTGTGCCAATAGGTTCAAGGGTACCTCCCACTTTCTCTTCTAAGAGTTTCTGTGTGGCTGGATTTATGTTGAGGTCTTTGATCCATTTGGACTTAAGTTTTGTGCATGGCAATAGACATGGATCTATCTGCAGTCTTCTATATGACATCCAGTTATGCCAGTACCACTTGTTGAAGATGCTTTTTTCCAATGTATAATTTTAGCTTCTTTGTCAAAAATCAAGTGTTTGTAGGTGTGTGGGTTAGTATTGGATTTTCAATTTGATTCTATTGGTCTACCTGTCTA